GCGGGCACGGGGGCGCGCCCATCCGCCCGGCAGGCGCGCTCAGCGCCTGGACAGCGGCGGCTCGGCGGCCGCTGCCGCACACGGCGGCGCTCACTCAAGTGCCATGCGCCTTAGTTCCGGTTGGTGTAGTGCACTGTTGCTCGTGGGGGTGCTAGTGATCTTTTTCTCCGCTGGATGGCGGGAGTATGCCGTCGACGTGAACCGTCCGGCTAGTGGGGTTTTTCCCAGCGGGACAAGCCTCTAAAGGGCGCCTTCCACGCGCACGGCAGCGCGCGTACGTCAATCGGCAGGGCTCTTCGCCGACGAGAACAACGGAACCCGCAGCAGGTAAAAACGCCAACGACGCGTGGCCGAGTGGGAAGGGCTAACATTTAAAGCTGTGTTCCGCTAGCGGTGGCCGCGTGCACCCTCCACGTTTCGGCAGCGAGTGTCTTGAGGAAACGCGCTGCCGTCGCGACGGTGGGAAGGCGCTCCTAAGGCCCCTTCTCACGTGCCACCCGACTCCCGCGCGCCGCCCCCGCCCCCGCCGCCGCCGCCCACGACTCCTGGGACTTGGAAGACTTCGATGCGCGGTGATGCAACACACTCTCACGACGGTGGACAAGAAATGTGTGTGGCACATGACTGACAGATATTGATTCAGGGTTAGATATTTTTCACAAACTTTGACCCATCTGTATTTCAAATAAATGTTACATATGTATGGTTTTGAATGTTGTTTATTCTTTGTTTTGTTAATCTACCCGTATGTATATTTGTGCATTTCTCTTCTCTTAACTTCTCTGTTATCCTGTGGTTTATATTCTTGCATCAAAGGAGTAATACTAAATTCGAATGCATCCTTTTGGTTGTGGTTAAGATGTATTAATGTGGAGTGACTCCAACTCTATTTCGGTATCCGATAAACACCGATGTAGGATCAACGGCGCAGCCAAAATAAATTGCAAAATCATTGAAAGAAAAATGTGCAATGGTTTGGTTTGAGTTAATATTGAAGCCTTTTACAAGATAATATTTGTGCCGTTCAAAGGAAATGTCACATCCAATACTCTGTGAATATTTTGACCACTTGAAATGGTTGCATGATATTCAAAGATATTGACAAATTATATACAAACGTTATTTATATGGTACAGTGATCCATAACAATATTATTTTATATTTTTATTATCTCAATGTTATTATAATATTATATAAAGTGTTGCATAAAGATGAGGAACTATTGCATTAGTATGTAACGTTTGCATTAGTATCGTCTGTCATCCTGATCTTTCTGAGTCTCCATGAAAAAATATTAATGTTTCTATTGCTTCTGAATGTGTTATTTATGTATCCTTTACGTTACAAAATTTGAGATCTCAAAAGCTCACAATTTTCAGTGAAAGATGCGTCATTGTAGTAAGTGAAACTTGATGATAAAAACCTATAATTGCCATCTACATAGGCGTAACCATTATTTCGAATCGCACTTAATTTCCTCAGAATTGGGTAAACTGAATTTCTACAAATCAAGTGTTAAAACTTTTCAATTACTATCGAATAATTGTAAACAAATATAAAAGTATGAAAATAATTCGTACAATGAATAATAATTTGAAAATGGTCCCTGTTGTCTATTAAGGCTAGTGAGTCTACGAAGATGGTAGACAAATACTTATTAAACACATGGCATAATGAAATACTGCGTGCTCTGATTTGGATAATCGCGGTCTATAAGATGAAAACGCCTCAACTTTTTCCGCTCAAAGGATCTCAGATTTGAATCATTGCCACATGCAGGAATGCTTGCTTGTGTGCTGTGGCATAGTGTGGGGTTCTCCCGATAATTATGCATCTCCTTTCCACCGTCTTCATTTCATTACTATAGTCATTCCGCGTCAAACAAGAGAGCGGCAATGTCGTTTCTGGACTCTCTTTGACATTCGGCGAGGCCATAGTGGAACAAGTAAAAGACTGTCGGAAGTAGCGCCCTGGCACGGGGGAGCGTTTTGCGGCAACAAAAGTTCCTTGGAAAAGGCCGTAGTCTCGCCGGGTCGAAGTCCGTGGTCCAGGAGCCGCGAGAAAGAAGGTGCTCCAGCGAAGAAACTGTTCCGTAGCCGAAAGAGGAGAAACCAAAAACACTGCCCAAGGGTCACCAATGACTAACTTCCTCTGACTTCTATCTCTCGCACTGTGCTCTGAGGTGACAAAAGTGATGGGATACCTCCTAAAGGGGTGCCTGGCCTCGAGGCCCCCCTCCTGATGAGGTGTAGACCATCGGCCCAGGTCACCTACTGCCATCCAGGCGCTGGAATCCACCATCTGGGCACCTAATGTACGCGCCACCCGAGCCACGCCGTCATTAATGAGGCCTATGCGGGTCCAGTGTGGTGTTTCCCTCCTGCGCGACAAGCCCTTCAAGATTAATCAGAAAGAAGTAGTCTGGAGGACCAGAATTCATTTGCCGTAGGAAACTTCTTATTGCTGCTGTTCAATGGCGGATCGTGGACATGCGATAAGTGTTGGTGGGCAATGTTCTCGCTCACTCACGCATACAGACATGACATAATGACAATTAAATACAATGCGTCTTATCAAGTACGATAGCATGCTGAAAAGCCTTCCAGGAGCAGTGAGTGTTGCCCGCATTTCTTTTCAATACACCTGCTTCAATTTTGTACGGCAAGGACTCCTCCGAAATATTTACTGTTAAGACCCATTCACAAAGCAAACGCAAACATAAGCATAGCGCATAGACATAAACATTAACATAACTGATAGACTGAAATATTTACAATGTGTAACATAAACGTAAGCAAAATAAGAGGTTCTTTTGACTGTGAGACATTCTGGTTTACTAGTGGGTGGATGTGAGAAACGATATCAAGGTATCGACTGTGTCCATGTCCCATATGGCGTTAGTTCTTCTATCGACTTCGCTCCGATTTCGATTCTCGATTTTGACTTAACGTTCTGTGATTGGTTCATTTCTTATGTCTTACTTAAGCATAAGCACAGAAGCTTGAAGCTTGCAAGTTTTAAAGTTGACGTCTTAGGTGTTTGCTTAAGCGAACGCATTGTGAAAGCGTCCGCTTGTGGACGTAGTCCTAACTTTTATGTAAACGCCATGCTTATATTTGTGTGCATTGTGAATGGGCCTTTAGGGATAGGTCAACTCGCATATCAATGCAGCTCGTTCCAGAATCCTTTTTCCAGGGATTTCGTGAGTTCTATTGTACACATTGATTCAAAACTTTCTAATCGTTTTTGCTATAGTATTTTACATAAGCTCACTCTTCATATTTATGGCTAGAAGTATAAGTGTCTCCCCGGCTGCGTCACCTCAGATTTCGGGCGTAGAGAATGTGGCTAATTTTAGTAGGAAGAAAAAAAGCAATTATTCTGTCTTTGTTACTCTTCAACATACTGTACCCACTGCACTGAAAAGTGTAAACGCTTGTCTCTTGGCAAAAGGTGGTCACTTTGAGCATTTATTCGAAGGTCCGTTTTGTTTTGTAATTTTAAGAAAATTATATTTTATTACTTCCAATAATTATTAATTTTTTACTTATTTATACTTTATTAATATTTTAACAATTTTATTAAGATGTTCTATTTGGTTTAATGTGCAGATTCCATAATAATAAAAATAATATATTATTGTTATAAATAATGAAGAGCTTGGGGGTAAAGAAGAGCTAGCGTTCTAAAAATTATAATTGTTGTTATGTTTCTGATAGTAAATCGATTAATCAGCCATAGATTCCTCTCACATCATTATTACGCTAAAGAGATGTTTTATTTGCCCGCTCGTGCCTCTGCCCACCCCACCCATGCTGCGCAGCACGAAAAGATCCCGGCGTGTAAGCTGCATACTAACTAAAAATATGTAGAGTTCCGTTTGAAAAACACAAAGTTAAGTTAATATATCTTAAAATACAAGTGATAAAATTGAAAAGAATGAATACATCTATTATCCCCATTCTCTCATTCATTCTCCGTAAAAACTGCATTGCAACAACTTCAATCGTTCAAAATTTCCAGCAGGTGCTTAAGTTATTAATATATAAAAATGGGTGTTGGTATATATAAGAGCGGTAAACTCTGACACCGTGTAACCGATCTCCATGAAAGTTGGCACATTACGAGTTTTTTTTCACCCAGGAGTTTTATATGCTGTTAATTTTGTTGTAACTCCACTAGATAACGCTCTAGAACAATACTAAATATTCATGTCAAATGCAACCTGCTACACTCGGCAGCATTTTTGAATCTATATCGTTAAATAACTTCTGAATGAGGCGTTTTAGTGCATCAAAAACTAAAATTTCAAAGCAAAAGGCCTCAAA